TATATATAGCGTAAATTTATAACATCCTATATTGTATTTTTAGAATTCTGTACATTTACATGATATCATCATATTCAAAGATAATCTGTGTGACTCAAGTGCTGCAGGGCATCGCAAATGAGCTCATTTTTGTCAGATGAAGTGCTCAGGGTGTTGTGAGTAGTGAACACTGTGTGCAATGTGAAGCACAATGCGGATCATGTTGATTGAGCCTTTAAGATCAGAAGAGAGTGAATCAGCATGTCAGTGGTCAGTTGTCGCACACAGTCATCATGTTATGAAGGTTGTGGTTGAAGCTCAGTGGAGTATGGCGAAGCGCCTGTGTCTTTAAAGCTTTAAGCTGGAGGAATGAAGTGGCCTTTTGGTGACTGTTGAAATAAATAATGAATGTGTGTGTGTTTCTAATGGTTGTAGTGTAGCACATTTGTTGTTGTTAGTTCATAGCCTTCGGTTGATGTTTCATAGCTCCTAAATAGGCCTATCTTGTTGCTGAGCAGCAGGCACAAATATTAAAATCTTAAAATCAGGTAATGTATGATATTTTATAATGTATATTTTTTTAATTAACAGAATAAGTAGTATAGAAAAAAATACCTTTGATGCTTTTAATGAAACCTCATTTGAATGATGACAGTGAGAGCATTTATGGGTTAGTTATGGGCAAGTCTTGTGGAGTTGGAAAAATCTGACTTTCTCAAATCCCCAATATTCCTGTACATAAACGTAAAGTCAGTTTATTAATCTTTGAAATAAAAGTTTCTTCTTTGAGGTGATGCCATTAAATATACATGATGTGACCTGCATCATATTTGGTCCTCTATGAATTTAGTGTGTTTGAGGGTGTTTGCTGAAGGGCTTGGATGTTAAAAGGCTGAAAAATGCCAATTTTCATCATCGCTATATATTTTTGTGACTGCTTGTCAAACAGCTGAGACGTCATGTATCACATTTGAATGAAAAATCAATATTGTCATTCCTAAAGGTCCGTTCACACCAAGTAATTAACAAAAACCATAACGATAACTAATGTTTTTGAAAGAAGTCTCACTGAGGCTGCATTTATTTGATCAAAAATACAGTAAAAACTGTAATATTGTGATTTTTTTTTAAACAGTTGTGCTGCTTAATATTTTGGGGAAGCCGTGATGCATTTTATTTCAGGATTCTTTGAGAATAGAAATTTCAAAAGAACAGCTTTTATTTGAATTTTTATTTTTATTTAAAATATTATTAATGTCTTTAGTCACTTTACAGTCAATTTATTGTCCTTACTGAATATAAATATTCATTTGAAAGTATTTCAAATTTAAACAGTAGTGTATATTAGTGTCCACACCAATGTTTATTTTTTTAATGTGAGTAGGATGACTTGAGGGTGAGTAATTTATGGGCTAATTTTCATTTTTGGGTGAACTAACCCTTTAATATTGCACTTCTGTCATAAAACCATAAAGCACAGTTCTCCTCTTTGCATGATTGCAACCTCAGACACAGTGGAGAAAGAGTCATAATTTAGTGTATTAAAGCAGGAACACTATGAGTGCATTCCAATAGCCAAATAGTATCCTGACTTTACAGGGAAAACCATGGCATCCTAGGTGAGACTCCATATATGCCATATATGTTTAATTTGATTGGGTTTAGTTTGGATTTAATTTGAAGTAGAGAGTAACAATTACCCAATAGTCGTTGCATATA